AAATAAATTTCATAATATTTTGTATCAGGATAATCTAACTGACTATATTAATAACACACTGCTAGATGAAGTGTGTTTAAATTATTTTGAAACCAAGAATTACACAGGACAAATATATTAGTATATAATAATCAATAATATTGATTATTGAATTTCATGTGTAGACTTCCTCATTCCCTCAATCTTGAATTCTCAGTCATGTTTCAGTTTATCATCTTTTTGGCTCTCATAGCTATAACTGAACTCTAAGCTATTTTTCAGTTTCTCTATATCAGAATTTCTTGAAGTGAGGTCTCTGGGACTCATGATACTCATGAGTATCAGTATCACTTGAAAACACCATAGAAACTCAATCGCTCATTCTCTATTTTACTAAGCTAGAATCTCAAAGTGTAGTTCCCACAAACTATGTTTTAAAAATCCTTTAAAAATTGAGAGTACTGAACCAGACTTCCATTTTGTTTCCATTCGCAGAGCTACTCCATTATTATAGGACAGAACTGTCTTTTATCCAAACTACTATGATGGCCTCTTAGCAGGTTTCCAACTTCTGACGAGTAGTCAGTCGAGTTCTCCTCATAACCCCCACTGGATTAATCTTTCAATGGTGCATAAAAACAAAACAAAACAAAATAAAAAATAAAAAATATCAAAAACTCCTCACTGTCTACTCAATTAAGCAGAAAAGTTTGTGTTTCAGTGTCTAAACATCTTTTTTCAGTCTCATTACCTACAGCAAAACTCATGCTCCATGTACTCTATTCCATAAGCAGACTGATCTTACTTTCCAGGCAATTAATTCACTGTACACACTTGAGCTTTTTTTGTAACATTTTTGTAACTTTATCCAGAATTGTTACATGTTCGGTATTTCTGAAGTGGCTGCTGAATTCATTTACCATGCACCACTCTCAACACGGGATCCATGAAACTATCTTGATCCACATTAAAGAGAAAAACCTTTAAATCCACCATATCTTATCTTGCAATTGCAAATATGATGATCTGAAAATAACATATGATTATGAGACTTCATCTAGATTGCTTCCTTTTCCTAAATCTTCTTTCATTATTTAGGGCCCCTTCCACTGTCATCTTTCCTAAATTGCTAATTTCCTTCTCTGAGTAGGTAGCTGTGATGGTGAAGAGGGGTAGAGCTTCCATAAGCAACCGTTCGCAGTGATCAGTTTATTTTCTCCCTTCCATTTTTACTTCCTATGGGTCTGCCCTCCAGGCCTGGCAGCTTCTTTTCCTGAGTTGCAACAATGTATAGAGCTCTGCTCACTGATTCCACCAAGGTTACTCAGGGTTCTAAAATGCCCCCCCCCAGTCATTTTTATAACAATGAACCTTCTCCTAAAAATATAACTTCCTCTACTGATTTCACATAGATTTAGAAAGATTAAGTTTTTTTCAAAACCACTGAAGTTTTTTGAGTAATCTAAATGAAATAAAAGCCAGTAGCATTTTATTGTGTTAAGGGCTGCATTTACAGTCAGAAAAACTTCCTTGTACTTAAATTGCTCAGCTTGATTCTCTGTAAGGCTGGTTCTTCCCTTTGAAAAAGCAAAGACACATCATATTAGCTCTAACTCATTTCAACAGAGACCCAAAAGAAAATCCAGCTATTCCTCCGTTTCTTTTTTCAAGTTTTTGTTTCAGTCTTCAAATCTTGCTAATTAAAATATATGTAATGATGGAAAAATCACTGATATCAATGATTTCTACCATTTCATACCTGCATAATAATTAGTAAATTTCATAAATGTGTTTTTACAACGAGGCTCTGAGAGTTACAGGGGACTATTCAAGATCACACAGCTAGTGATATGCTCAGGTAGTGTTCAGAGCAATTTTTGTGGTTTCAAGTTAAGAACTTTTATTGTCACCACATTCCTTCCCACTGAGAGCTATAGTCACTACAAAGCCTATAACTGAATAAGTAAAGCCTCAGTCCATCTAAATTGAAGATATTTGTGCTCACTGTTTTTTTAGATTCTAGTGTCACTTTCCATGGACAGTCCTTGTGGTTGACATGGGAGCACCCATCTTTACATTCTTGACCAAATAGTCAATGGTGAACCTGCTACTGAGTTTTCAGGTTAATCTTTTGTCTAACTCAAGTACCTTTTACAGTTTTAAAATGGCTACCCTAAACCTAATTTACTCATATTCAGACCTAACCAACTTTCACGTTCTTATCACTCTAAATTTTCCCCAGGTTATTTTCCTATACAAAACCAAGCCATAGTGTCAACCACAGAAAACTCATAGGCCCACCTAATATTATCCTGTGCAAATCTTACTTTAAAGGTGCTTAGTTTAGAGATCAAAGGCCACACCTAAAACTTGTAGCTTTTCCAGATTTTTGTTACTCTATCAGCAAACACATAAGCCATTAAATATACAAACTTATCAATAGATTACCGAACTGTAAAATTTAGAGATAGCAAGGTCATTTGAACTAATCTAATGCAAATTTTAGCACCGTATTATGTAAGCATAATTTATATTTCCTGAACTCAATTAAGGAAGAGAAATAAAAAGAATGCATCCTTTTCTATACATTAATTCCACTATTTGCCATTTTATGCATTCTATTTTTAATGATTATTTTGAGGGTGATGCTCGTTTTCCTCTTACATACTACTAATCCTATCTAAATTTTTTATCCTAGAAACACTAAAATATTCATGTAGAAAAATTAGGTAATCTCTAGTACTGAGAAAGTTGGACTTAAAAGTCAATCTTCTAAATCCACTGTTCTTCCTGCAAAAATTACCTCAGCAAAATTTGAATGCATCTACAAAGATATATTAGTGTTAAACACATTGTATGAGTACAATAAATATTTGTTTTACATTTGTAAGCATATATTTCTTAAGTATCTTTATATATCCTTGTGTCTTTACACACAGTAGCACAATGGAAACTCAATATAATTCATGGAGGCACTGGATGAATGAGCAAAATGTATCAGATACACTGTATCTCTTTTGTTTTTGCATACTGATTGTAAAGCATGTTTACTTCTTCAAAGAATCCACATGGAACCACTCTTGCATGTAGTCATCATTATTAATTCAGAGAAAATGGCATACTATAAAAAGTGAGGCTGAGACTGTTTTGTCTGTTAATATGTAATTGAAAATATTGATTTGCAGTGTCTTATAGCTTTGGAAGGGAAAAGAAAAACAGTAAATTGAGTGGTTCATTTTATTCATGATTTCTATTGTTCATGCAAAATAAAGAACAAAATCTAACAAATTTTTCTTGGTTTAAAACTTGCCATAGCTAAAAATGCATTTCTACTGTGGAGGATAATGTATTAACATGTTTTAATATAGTATCTGTGAGTCACAATCTAGTAACATAATTTACTGGAAAATGATATCCTGTTGTAAATATCTTATACTTTAGTAATTTAAAATCTATGTATATGATGGAAACAATATAAAACATAGGAAGTAATAGTATTTTAGATGATTGAAATAAAAGTCCTGTAGTAATTTAAGCACTAGCTACATTGCTGATATCTCAAGAACTAAAAGCAATGCATTTCAGCAGCTGAGTAAATTCTTAAAGAATAACTATACACTAAAATAAAGTTTCATAGTCTGTTAGATTTTTCTGCAAGTAATGATAACTATATACATGTTTTGGGAGGTGAGTTTTAAAGATAATGTTTTGTCTTCTGCTTTTTTGGTGCGGGGAGCAGGGTCTCATTATATAGTTCAGGTTGGTCTTGAATGTACTATGTAGCCCAGACTGGCCTCAAACTTGTGGTGATCATTCTGCCTCAACCTCCTGACTGATGGGATAACTGTTTCATGTTCATAAAGAATTTAGAATCACCTTTAATATATTTTAAAGTCTACATCAAACTGGTATATTTATATAACATAATGGTCAATTGTTAGTGACTTAGAAAGTGTAAAACCTGGTAGATCATTATATTATTGGGTGCCTGTACTTTTGAAAATAATTTTGAACACCTATTTTTCTAGGGATCAATACTTACCTGATACTTTGAATCATATTTTTCTAGAAATGTTAAATATTTCCAGCAGTTATTTATATACCAAACACACACACATATATATATATATATATATATATATATATATTTACTTATATTTTATATTTGAAAGCACAATTATATACCATATGAAAAATCTGCCAAACAATATTCCATAAATATAGAGTAATTCTTTATATTTTAGGCCTTCTTAAAGAATTGAAATTCACCAATACTATATATTGTATTTTTGCAAACCACTAATAACAAGATTTTGTCTTCATTATATATATATATATATATATATATATATATATATATATAGAAAGAGAACCATGCAAAATGCTACAACCTCTTATTCTTCATTAAATAGAATAATTAAAAATAAACATGGAAATGACACAAAATAGGATATAGAAGTATTCTGATTATTTGTTCTCATGGCTTGAGTGTTTCACTATAGTCTAATAGATTTTATCACAGTGTCTGAAACTAGTAAAAGTAAGATAATACACACGTGCATAAGTAAAGAGTTACAAACACTGTATCATGCAGATGTACAAGGCCTCATTTTGGATATTCTACAACATACACAAGCAATAGCATATGTAGCAAAATATTTTAATATCAATAGTACTTTCTTTAGATAGATATCTTTGTGCTTTTAAAAATTTTGGTCTGCAGCATGCCATTTGTTACTCATCTTTAGGTTAGCCCTGAAAATACATGTGTAAACCAGCGTAGAATGCAGTTCTAGAATAGCTGCGGCAGGGCAAACAGTGAGAGAAAAAAAGAGAGAGAGAGAAAGGGGGAGACTTATCTCCTGTGATAGTCAGTGGTAAAATTTCCTTAAATACATTTTGGCCTTCATTTTCGTTTTGAAAACCTTGCTGTGAGGGTTGTTTGCCCCTCTCAAGGTACTGCGAACCCGTTGCAAGAGATCATTTAGCACTAGTTTCCACCTTGGAGTAGATCTTCCTACCTTTCCAGTCTTAATTCTGTGAGAAAGGGCTGCAAATCGGTGGTTGAGCTCTGAGATTTTGGGCTCTACTAGTTTCCTGCAGTGGTTGCCACGGTTTGCCATCAAGTTCGCTGCTTGGTCGCGTGTGGATTCCACTTTTGGGCGTATGTCATTCATTTCAGCCTTTAAGCGCTGTATTCCATGAGCAAGAAACAGGGCTTGAAGTTAGTAAAATGGAAGGAGGTAGGGAGAGAGAGAGAGAGAGAGAGAGAGAGAGAGAGAGAGAGAGAGAGAGAGAGAGAGAGACAGAGAGACAGACAGAGAGAGAGAGAGAGAGAGAGAGAGGATGATGGGGAGGGAACCAGGAGAAAGACAAATAGAGGTAAGAAAGGAGGGGGAAAGGAGAAGAGAGAAAGGCACAGATATCTTCAGAAGAATAGAAAGGAAGGAGGAAAAGTCAACTTTCATAAAACAGAAGTAGGATAGGTCACTATTCTTGATTAAGTTTGACGCATGTCTATTCAAAGTGCTTATTTAGTGAGGAAGAATAAAGTGTTTTTATGACTTCTCCACGTTGCATACAACAATTATGGTATTTTATGTTTAATCATACTTATCTTACCTTTACTAAATTTAACAGCTATGGAACACCCTAATTCTATGCTCAGGACAGAAGGTAGCCGAGGCACACTTTTCTATTCTTTCTTGGTACGTTTGAGTTCCTTTTAGTTTATTACATTGAGTGTCAGGGAAACAATCGATTTTCTAACAGATTTGGATTCTAGGTCACATACAAAGTTATTGAGGAATATTCTTTCTAATGCCAGGGGTCACAGAGCTTTTAGGGTAAATAACTGTTTCTATTATCACAAAATCTTTAAAGAAATTTCACCATAAATGACATCTTTGACCATGTATTAGTCTGATCAAGATACAGATCAAAATAAAATAAGAAAGGCCCAGATAATAGGGTAAATATGACTTAAAAGTAATTTACAATGTATTTATAATTTCTCATTTAGAAAGAATTATCTATGGAATGTATCCAGGGAAATAAAAAACGACATTTAATTTTAAAGACAAATTTTAAGTGTTTTTATAGTAACAACATATTGAAAATTTCAGCAGAATAAAATAAGAAATCCATAATGCAAATAAGATTTGTTAAAATTCAACTCCTCCTATGTAATGGAGAAAAGGATGTTAGCAAATAGAGCCTAAGCAATACCAATATTTGCTCATTACAGCTTTCATATTCTTTTATAAGAAACATGTTTTTAAAAGAAAGATCAAATTTCAGTTTTATATAAGCTTAGCACTATGAATATTTACAGGTTGAATATCCTTTATTCAAAATATTTGGAACCAGAAGTGTTTTTATTTAGCACTTTTAAAAGTTGGAATATTTCCATCTCCATAGTGATACGTGAGGTAGATAAGACTCAAGTCTAAATATGAAATTACTTTATTTTTCATATATGCCTATACATATAGCCTAATGGTAATTTATACAATATTTTAAAATAGTTTCAGGCATGAAATATTTCCTGATGTTGGATTTTCCACTTGTGACATCATCTCATGGCTAAAAATTTAGGATATTGAAATATTTTGCATGATAAAGTTTTGGGTTACTGATGCTCAACCTGTACTAGAATATGGCATAGGGAAAATATCCAGCTATTTGAATTTCAGATGTTTACTTAGGTAGGCTGTATGAGTAATGGCAGAGAACTGATCAGCATAGGATATAACTTTGTATTACTACCATTAAAACAGGCAGGACATAGAACTACACTATCAAGATAGATGCTAGAATCTTTTTTGAGCAGATTTTAAATTGGATCTGATTTGTTAATAGGTGGATAGGGACAGATTATAGGACTCATTAATATCATTAATTGCTGTTCAAAAGAGGAAGAAATAAAGAAGGAAGGTAAGAAGGAAGGAAGGTAGGAGAAAGGATCGATTCAACCTTATTAAGAGGTCCTTGGTATTTTTTATGAAAAAATGATTGACATAACTGTTGCGCAGATTGAAAATCCCTTTTCACAACATTTATTTGCTACCTTAAGTATGTCTTCTTTATATTGGCCTTTCTTTTTCTCAGATTCATCCAAAAGTGCATCAGCTTGATTTATCCACTTTGTGATGTGATCCACATTCTGGTCAAAGGTGTCCATGTGTCTCCGGTATTCCTTAATTATACAGAGACACACCACGACATTATTTGTTAGGCAATACTTTTAAAGAATATATTTTATTTCATACAATTCTATAAAGATAAAAACATTGTATCATTCTAATTACTTTTAACTGTTCATATAGACTACAGCACATGCATAGAAACAAAGGATTAAATTACAGATATCTATAGACAAATAAGTGCCAGCATATAGGGGATAAATTTCAAACACAAACATTGTTCCTGAACGTGCATGAAATATTTTTTCATTACAGACAAAAATTGTGATATTTCTGGTTTTCTCTTACCAACAAAAGGTTTAGCCACTCTTCTGCTCGGGAAGTGACTGCTATCCAGTTACTATTCAGAAGACTGAGTTTATCTTCCACCAAAGTCTCTTTCTTGCCCAGCACTGCCTTCAACGCCTCTCCTATCTCTGTGACACTCTTCAAGTGAACCTTCTGTTTCTCAACCTCTTTTTGAATAGCCTGTGAAAATGATAGCATTGAGCTTTAGATAACATACTGTTCCCTAGGATTTAATCTTTGTAAACGTTTCATGTGTATGGTTTCCTACTTAAGAGTTTGTAAGATTTTAAACCCACAATCTTATTTTATGAACAATGATATCATTCCATATACACTGTAGTTTTGCTATTGGGTATAGACAAACATATATAAACATGATTAATTTCTTATTTTCATGATACTTATATATACATTTAACAATTAGATGTATATATAATCCAAATAAACATATTCATATTTACTGAATTTTCATATGAAGTGGTTAACTGTAAATGTTTGAAAATTCACCCATAAGTAAGGACCTTGTTTAAAAAAAATCTCAACCAGTATGGTGCTAATGTATTTATACAGCAGAAATTGTCAGCCCAGTGATGGTGAAACTTTTACACACAAAGTGTGAAAACTGTAGCCCAAAACCCACTTATTTATTACAAAGTGCCAACACTGTTATTAAACCTGAATACTGAGATTTAAGTTTAGAAAAAACAATTCATGTATTACCATCTTTTGTCTTAAATGGAAAACACAATAACATGCTTTCCATGATACAAACAACATTTTATTGAAAAGTAAGTTTGCATTTGCCCTTCTTTTGCACAATTACTGTAATGTTTGCTGTTGTATTCATGCTGATAATTTGTCAAACTTGGCTGGGGCTATTTGGCAAGCATGCCAACAGAGAGTTCTCTGCAGATCCGCTACACCACGTGTGCCATAGGTTTGCCACCACTGGTTCATCTATTTCGTACCATAGATCTCTTTCGTACCATAGATCTCTTTGACATCAGATAAGGCTTAAAGTTCCCTTTCTACAATGTGTTTTTAAAAGTATGAAATGAAATAAACAGGATTTTAAATGGAAAATAATTATACTAAAATTTAAAGTACAACCCAATAAATTAGAAATTTAAAAGCATATAACATAGTAATACATGTTTCCTAATATGTTAAATAAGATTTAGCATCAGGTATTTAAGGTGATTTCAAAGTAGTTATGAGCACAAGGAATATTTTTAAATGCATACAATGGCTGTGACATGATAAAGAATTACTTGTCATTTGTGTTGGTGACAAATTGAATGACAGTGCTATCGTTGAGGTTTGTTGCTCACATTTATAATGGACAAAATATTTGCAATTAGAGGCAAATTAAAATAAAAACATACATTACCCATGAAAGTTTACAGACCTCAATACTATATGTCTGTATATTTGAGATTAAAATCCCATGAGAACATTATCATTTATTAAGACTTGATTTATAAAACATGAAGATAATCACATCTAACACGACAAAATATATGGTGAGTTGATGGGAAATATGACCCAAATAAAACTGTTTTCTGCATATCCTATATACAGTCCCTTTCTTGGCATGAGCCGTGATGGACCACACGACCTTCTTGTGCTTTTGTCTCCATTCCAGTTCTTGTCTTGTCTGCCTAAACAGCCAGGTGCTGAATATTCACAGCGGGCTGCACTACATCATAACAGATTCTTTCTCAAAAAGGTTAACTAAAAGTCACAAAGACTAAAATTATAATATGAGCTAAAAAGCCACTTGCAAATGAAGTTCAGCATCCTTAACACAGATATCCAAAATTAAGTCAGAACTGAAGATTAACACTAAGAAAAATAGTACTTGAAGTCTACCTGCAGAGAGGTAAATATATAAGCAGAGAGAGCAACAGACATGGACAGCAAAAAGATAAAAAAATTGCTTCTGCCAGACAAATTTAGATCTTATTTCTTAACCCTAGATGCTCTCAATGTGGCTTTTCTATCTTTATGGTATATCTAAATGATCCAGTTGGCTGTCTTTCCTCCAATCCATGTCCCGCTCTACACACAATAACAGAAGATTTTTTGTTGTTGCTGTTCTTGCCTCTGACACCCCAAAACTAGGCAGCAATAAACCAGATTAAAAGACTGTATGAAAAATTTTATATAAAAATTCATCACTTTCTTCAATTCTATGGTACTAATTTGTAATAGTTTCTTTTAATATAAAATATCTGAACTTAATATAACTAACATCAAATGGACATATCTGCTGCCACTCAGATGGTTATTTGTAATATAGGTATCATTTGTTGCACATGAGTGATCTTAGTATTTTATAAAATCAATTTGTTCATATATCAATCATAAAAGTTCTTTACATCACAATTAGATGTCAGTCACTATTGAATCAGTATCATAGGTGACATTATTCAATATCTTGTGGAAAATCATGAAAGGATCCTATTTCGATAGATTCAGGTCTTGTGGAGCATGATTTATGAGTAGACATGGATTGCATTTCATCCATTGCAATCCTTTGTCTGCCCCCTTAAGTAATATAAAACCTGTAAAACCACAGACATTAGCCATTGTTGTACGCACTGTGGGTAAATAGGGAGACAAGCATCATCACTGTCCTTCAAAAACTTATACTTAACTATGGATTTTTCAAGGAAGTATGTATAAATGAGCACTCTCTACTTCCTATATTCCAGGCTAACAATTTATTAATCCAAGTGAATTCTTTACAAAGGTTTAAACTTAACTTTTAATTTATATATGGATATTAATCTTTTAAAATGTCTTCATAAAGGTGGTCTATTTTAGTATTAATATAAAAACTATTGTGTACACAGATCTGTATCTTACATACCAGGCAAAGCAATTAAAGGAAAGAAGAATTCCAAACTTCAGAAGAAATCAGAGAAGTTTTCAACTAAAGAATTATTTTTACAAATAATTCCTAGATCACAATAATTATTATTTATCTAACATCTATTTAAATCTTTGAGATGATTTTCAAAAAAATGTTTAATATCCAGTGATGTTTCATTCAGTTGATTGAAACAAGCTTGGTAATGTAGTCTAATTGCTAGTGACATTATAAATTCCTCAAAATTATAGGATAATATTCCAACATGTTAAAATTATCATCAAAATGATATGTGCTTGATAAAAGCAAGTTTCCTCATGGTGGTTCATGACTGCTTATGGTAAAACATGAATCACAGAAACCTCATATTTGAATGAAAAAAATAGATGTTAAGTTAAAATTTTGTATGTAGTATTTAAGAGTAATCCTGTATTCAACTATTTGTAAAGATTTCACTTTGAGTTAAACAAAGATTGAGTTCATTTAATGCTTTTTGTAATTTTCCCCTCCAAAAGTAATTTTACTCAAAAGTATAATTTAACAGCATAAGAGTTCACAAAAACTATGATAATCTTGCTTTCTGAATGTCTTGCTAAAATTTTAATTATTCAATTTACACCACAGACTTGACATTCACCTTATAGCATGTTATTCAGAAATAAGAGAAAATCCTGCATGTCCTGCTGCGCCTATAAATGTACTTCGAGGAAAAAGCTGAAATGCAGTAAATTGATAGCATTCTAGAAAGAAGGTTCTTTTTATGACTGGGATAAGTATGAATAACCTAATAGGAAAAGTATCTGTTATGGTTTGTTTCTCAATGTTCCCTGAAAGTCTCATGGAGTCATAGGTGGCAGGCTTTCAGAGTTTGTGGTTCAATGCTGTGATAAAGGGAGTGAGTGCTACATCCACCCTAGGATGGGTAGCCTATATACAATATAAAGGACACAGTCTTTTATCATGCTCCTTTCTTTTTGCTCTTGCTGTTTTACTGTTTCCCTCTGCCATGTGCCATTCTGCCTCAGAGCCAGCTGAGGATGGACTGAAACCTCCACAAACTGTAGGCTAAATAAACTTTTCTTCTTTAATTTGCATTGTGGGTATTTTGTATCAGCAACCAGAGAAAAGTAACTAAGGCAGAATTTGGTAGTAGGGAAGTGCAGTCATTGCTGTGACTATATCTGACCATATGGTTGAAGAACCTTTGGGAATGACCTGTGAGAAGAGTTTGGAAAGATTCTGAGATGTTTCCTGAAAGAGTAGTGCTGGAACATCTTAGGCTGTTCTGTATGGGAGACTCTTGGTAGAGCTCAGAAGAACAGAAGCTGATATAAATCCTGCCAGTAAAGCCCAGGCTTGGGAGGTTTCTGTGGGGAAGCAGGACTGTATTGTCTGTTGATGATGTTATGGCTTTGCAAAAAGGTTTTTTTGCATTTTGCTCATTTTCAGACACTTTGCCTCAGACTAAGATGAAGGTTGGAAGACTAATTAAACTGACAGAATAAATTTCAAGGTAGTCAAATATTAAGGCCATGACATGGCTATTGTTTATTGTTGGGGTCTTTTAGCCAGATTTCTGATTCAAATCATGAGCAAAAATCCCAGCAGCATAATTTAAAATGCTGTGAGTTTGGCCATAATGAAAGCACCAGTAAGTCTGTGGTCCTACTGAGCTGAGGAGTTCTCAATTGATGAGAAGGAACAGGAGAATAAAAAAAGATGGACTTAGGGCATCACAAGAATCAGCAAGTATCTGCTCGCCCTTTCCAGCCTCAAAACTGAAAAGTAAACGACTTTGCTTTGGGGAATTTGTTCTTCAGAATTTGATTCAGAGTACTCAGCTATTCAGGTACTTGACTCCTATGACCAAGAGGAAGGAAAATCTAGTTACTCTTCCAGCTGACAGCAGACCTTGGCATATGTGATACTGAATTTCGGTGTATGCATACTGTGAGTTCTGAGATTAAAAAGACTTCTGCTCAGATTTCAGAAGACTTGTGCAGCTAGGCAGTTTTTCCCTGAGAGGGCACTGTGTAAAGCAGTGAAGGAGAAGCCAAAGATGTAGTGGAGACACTAAAAATTTGGAAAAGCCATGAATATGGATCATTTGATGAAACCTGCAAGGAGTGAGCAAGCTAGTGAAGGGAGAAGTCTTGGGAGCCACAACCACAGGAAGTGCTATAGTTATGGAGACACCCAAGACTTCTGGAGCTCACAATTTGCCACAAGTTGAATTACATGCTGCACATGAAACTATAGGACTTAATATTTACCCCGCTGGATTTTGGACTTACATTTGCCCTAT